CCCCCTTTTTCCCTTCTCTTTCTTTTTTCCCTTCGCTTTCTTTTTCCCCTTCGCTTTTCTTTTTTTTGCTGCTGTCTGCTTGGAAGCAAGTCCCGTGTTTGTCCCTCCCTTCCCTCAGCCTGCACAGGTGGTGCTTCCAGCAGCAGTTCCGTTGCTTGGCTTCCTCACCCATTCAGCTTCTCTTGGCATAACCAACAGCACCTTCCTTTCTGTGCTCTCTGTTCTTCTCTGCATTGACTCTTTATTTTCAAGTGCCTCAGAAAGACCTGCTTCTGAAATAGCCCAGCCAGCAAACAAGGTGTGGTAATGTGAACAGAAATCTAAAATGTCAAACCACTTTATTTTCTCATAAAGTGTTTCATGAGATATTCAGACTACTCTTTGAGCAGCTGTAGCCTTGGCTAACTTTATTATTGTTGCAATTGTGAGGAACTGTCTTTACTATTTGGGAAACTCTTCCACACTTATGACGGTAATAACTTAGAATAATTAAACAAACCCTCTCTATGATGAAAAGCTTTACATGTTTGTCTTTTAAAAAGATTTTACTTTTCTATTTGCAGTGTGTTCTTAATGAAACACCCCTCACCATATTTGTTAGCATCAGCGTACCCATGGCTGTGTGTTCTTTTCCTTTTTTCCATGTTGTGATGAGATTCTCAGCGTTGTGAATTAGTGTGATGTGGAGATGGCACTGATTTGATAGACGTTTGCTTCATACTTCTTTTTTATTGCTTGTTTTGGCACAGTAAGGCTTGTTCTGAACACGGCTGGAAAAGCTACATACCACCTCTCAGGTGCCTAATTGTTATCTCAAGAAAACTAAAAAAACCAACACCAAAACAACAAAAAAAAGAAAAACCCCAGCTCAGTACAAATGGCCTGTAATACAATTGCTTTTGAAGCGTGAGAGCCTGTTTCTTATTCCTCAGTAACAGCTTAGCAACCTAGCCGTCACATTTGCAGTTAAAGAAAACCATCTGTCTTTACCTGAGGCATCATCTGTCTGTAGAAAATGAGTCCTGGCGCGTTCTTATAAAAGCAAATTGCTTTTTGGGGGTTGCTGGTTGGGTGGGTTTAGCAACATTAGCACCAATTAAGTTATTGGAGAGAATAAACATAGAAAGGCAAAGCAGATGAGTGGAAGGCGACTTGTGTCCTGTGCAGAGCTCCTCTGAGCCAGCTGGGTCTCACCGGTCACGGACCGAACAGAGAGGGCGGGTGGACGCCTCGTTCCTCCCCGCTGCGCCCGTGGAGCCAAGGGGCAGAGAGGCGGTCACCTGGGTGGGAAAAGAAGGGAGCGCAAGCCTTGGATTACAAGTTAAAAATAAAAATGGTAACAAGTGTTGGCCCAAAGAGGGGAAGCTGTGTATTTTCCCGTGGTGGTTTTAGAATTGCACAGTGCCCTCCAGTAAGTACACGTGGGAGAGAGACTTGGGCCCTTTGCGGGCTGTGGGAGCTGGAGGCATGAACACAGCTAGTGACTGCAAAGGTGTTGTAAAGGGATAAACACCTCTGAGGCGTCCCTGAAAACACGCAAACAGAAATGTCGGGAGACTACACTGGGGTTTGTGGTTTGTTTTCCTTAACTACTGCCGTTCAGACATTGATCAGTGGAATAAAGTCATCGAGCAGCTGGGAACTCCCTGTCCAGAATTCATGAAGAAGCTGCAGCCGACGGTACGCAACTACGTTGAGAACAGACCCAAGTACGCTGGCCTCACCTTTCCCAAACTTTTTCCAGACTCTCTCTTCCCAGCTGACTCGGAACACAACAAACTCAAAGGTATGTCTGGCAAAGGGACACGGTTCACGTGTCAACAGCTACAACGCAACAAATTCTTTTTCAATTTTTCTTCTCTCTCGTTGCACTCCCTTTTAATGCAGTTAGTTCCAGAGACAAATGACTGCATGGGTTTTATGCAGCTGAGAGGCAGCTTTTGGAAGTGATTTGTTGAGAACCTGGTGCTTGGGCAGCCAAGGGAACATACATTATCATTGATGAATATGTCGAGCACATCCCCGTGGTGGTCTCTGATGTTTCTGTACCATCAGGAACTGGGGCGTTCCTTTACCCTCATTCTTAAACCTGTAACACAAAGGAACGGTAGAACTTCCATCAGAAAACACTTGCAATGGTTTGTTTTAGGCAAAAGATATCAGTTCAGCCAGGTGCGTGCCTCACAGCTCGACCTTTACTAGACAGCAGAAGGGCGTTGGCAACATCAGCCCAAAAGGTCTGGGTGTAGCTGAGGTTTAGGATCTGCTATGGGTGGGTTTCTTCTTTGGAAAAATGCTGTGGTTTGTTTGAATATGGGAAGAAGAGCACTAAATTATGGTGCAACTAGGTATAGCTCTGTAAAATACACATTGCAATGATTTTAATCATATATTGAAGTCCTGTTATACTTGAGCAGGGCATTGACCTGCAATTGGAAGGAGTGATTTCTGTGTGTTTAGTATAGAAATGATTTCTCGTCACAGCTCTGGAACCCCCCATACAACTTTGTCCTGCCGATCAGTTCTGCACAACCTGAGTATTTAGGGCCACTTACTCCGGTGGCGTGTAACGGTTTTCAATTGCTTTAAATTTGCAATCATTATGTTACCCAGAGTGCTCTCCCAATTACCCACTGTTTCACAGCAAGGCTGCTGCCTCGGCTCTGGGAGCAAAGCGAAGGGTCTGAGCAGATACCTTTGGATACACATCATTTTAGACTCCTACTACAATAAAATTCAATAATGATATTTTCTTGGATTTGGAACTAATGAATAGAAATGCCTGTCAAACAGTGCTGTTATCTTTTGGATACAGGAGGCATATGCATTTGAGCATATGGAACGCCAGTTTTTAAAATACTGAACAAGGAGGAGTGCATTTAAAAAATTCTTCCTGTGCATCATCGTATCCTCCCATGCCCTGCCTAAATATTTCACTCTTGCTAACAATTTAATTAGATATTACTTTTACTCACCTATGTGTGATACCTAATAATATTTTTGCACTTATATCTCCTTACAGTCTTTTTCTTTTAATTTTCTTCTTCATTTACACGGGAAATAATTTTGAGTATGGAGGGAGTTTAGAACACTCTATTGATAGGAGTACTGGAGACGTATGTTGTTATCATTTTTATTACATGGGTTTAGATAGTATTATATTGTTACCAACTCTAAACATTGTAAAGAGTTCAGGTAATAGAAGGCTGAGTTTGTGACCTGACAGGCACAATGGGCTGTATTACCAGGTAAAATAAACCAATGTTGCAACAGAAAGCTCAACATATATATAAGGCTGTGCATTTTTGTAGTACAGGATGATGTGTCCCACTGATGTAAACTTTGCCATGGGGGACAAACAAGACTTGAGCAGTTCCCGAGGCATTTCCATACCATTTATATCAGGCTACTGGTTTGACAGTCTTGCTTCTATTGGGATGCCCTGAGATCAGCCTGGTCTATGCCTCACTAAAATATTGAATGCCTCCCAGCAGGCTAGGTGAAAAACTTGAAAACATACAGGAAAGTGTGGATGTTCTTCTGAGCCACCTTAGGAGTATCTGTAAGCTTCAGTGCCATGATTTCATACTTCATTATGTGAGCTTTTGTTTTCTCATCCTGGCAATGATACGGGTACCCCAAGTTCATTTTTCTTGGATATATTATCCAGCCCTCTCCATGCAATGTGCATACAACATGGAAAATTAAGGTGGTGAGGCAGTGGCCCAGGTTGCCCAGAGAAGCTGTGGATGCCCCATCCCTGGAGGGGTTCAAGGCCAGGCTGGATGAGGCTTTGAGCAACCTGGGCTAGTGGGAGGTGTCCCTGCCCGTGGCAGGGGGTGGCAGTGGATGATCCTTAGGGTCCCTTCCAACCCAAACCATCCTGTGATTCTATGCAAATCTCATTGAAGCTTGTCAGGGGACTTATTATATGCAGCCCTGATGTTGGCACGTTGATAATGAATCCGACCTAAAATGCTTACTGGAGAACTCTCACTATAAGAAGGCAAGGGGCAGAAGTGTGTATAACCAGTCTTTGAAGGGGTTCTGTCGTTGTTCCTTGCCTAACCCAGTTAACCCTCGCCTGGAGGCAGGGATGGCTTTGTACTAATGCTCTGTTCATCTGATTTCCTTGTTCTAGCCAGCCAAGCCAGGGACCTTCTATCAAAGATGCTAGTCATTGATCCGGCCAAGCGAATATCAGTAGATGAAGCCTTACAGCATCCATACATTAACGTCTGGTACGACCCAGCAGAAGTGGAGGCGGTAAGTGAGGCATGACTCCTTATTTCAGCCTGCTAAGCGCAGATATGATTCATAGATCCCTGCTGCTTTAGAGCAGCTCGGTAACGAGCATCCTCTAAAGAAACAGTGTTGTGACTGTGGTGGTCTTTGGATTTATGTGAAATGAGATCTGCAGGGATGCAAGATATCTCTTTGTTAGATAAACTGACAATAGATGGGAGAAGCAAAAACACTTCAAGCACATGAAGCCATTTTCTGCTTTCTTCTAGATAACGCGAATAAAAGATTTTGAGCCCAGTAGCTCACCTGTTTCTTCTAGCTAGACGAGTCTGCTACTATAAAGTTTCTGTTCTCGGTGTGCAATAAGTTGTATGAAATTATTTGTGTTCCATATCTGGAAGATTTCCAGCCCAAGGAAGAGGTGGTGATATTCTGTCTTTCCCTGGCAGTCTTGCAAACTTAAATCCTAGTAAAGCGATGCAAAGAGACTGAGCAATGTGGAGCCCAGTAGCCATTCGTATTCAAACCACTGTTCCTTGCAACATTCGTTCAACTCTTCTCTGTCTCTTAAAGATATTGTCTCATTTTGCTTATCAGGAGACTGGGCTATTCAAACTCTCTGCTGCTTCAGCTGGCTGATGAACCCATTAATGGATTTTTCATTTGCTGCTCTCTGAGTATTCAGTTTGACTCTTTTCCATTCTCTTTGCGTATTTCATGTTGAAATTCAGACATGCTATCTTTGACACTATTGGCCATATTTGACACATTTGTCTGCTGGTATCTTTACCCCAAGACAATCTTTTGTTAAAACAAGTTTTAAGTGGGCATTTGTGTTTTGTATTTCACTAGAAATAACACAGTCAGCATCAGATTTGGTCCTTTTTTTCCCACCCTCTTTTTTGTGGATTTTCCGGCAGCTAGTTGTGAGCCTTACTAGTTTGAAGTTGCCTGCTGCTGCATTTTACTGTTTTGGAGCCTATGACTTTTTTTTTTTTTTTTTACAGTTGCATTCAGTAAGTCTTCTCTTGTGTCTTGTTGTTTCCTGGCAAAAGGAGAAGAAAAGCCATAAGCCAAATTTTCCATTCTGTCTGTATCACAGACAGCAGGTACTAACTGGGGTTTGTGCTTTGCCTTGCCTCTTCCTTGATGAGAACTTCACCCCACCAGCTTACAGCATCAGACATTTGCGTCCATTTCATGGGCCAGGTGACGGAGGGCACAACAGGAACCTCAGCTAGTTATTGCCAAGTGGGCAGGCAAGGACTGAGTGAAGAGTGGGAGGAAGGATGGACTAGCCAAAATGAATATTCTGCCACTTTCTTTGGGAAGAGTTTGCAGAGGACCGGAATGAATTCTCCTTCAGGATCTGCAGCATGCCAAGGCTCTCTGAAGCAATCCTGCTTTTTCACAGTGTGCAGGCCAGGGAACCTGACAAAAGATCAACAGGAAAATGAGTGATGGAGCTGCTTTTGGTCACTTGCGTTGTGCTTAACCTCCCGCTATTTCTTTTTACAAGAGCATGTAGTGACATGATGAGGGGTAATAGACTTAAGCTGAAAGAGGGCAGATTGAGATGAGATATTAGGAGGAAATGTTTTCCTGTGCGGGGGGTGAGGCAGTGGCCCAGGTTGCCCGGAGAAGCTGTGGATGCCCCATCCCTGGAGGGGTTCAAGGCCAGGCTGGGTGAGGCTTTGAGCAACCTGGGCTGGTGGGAAGTGTCCCTGCCCATGGCAGGGAGTGGAACTAGATGGTCTCTGAGGTCCCTTCACAAACCATTCTGTGATTCTATGGTGGTGGGATGGTTTTTTTCCAGAGTCCTCCTCCCATCCTGCATAACACGAGGCAGGATTCCTGCCACTATCAGTAACCCTGTACAGCAGGGAGAACACAGAAATAGGGTACAGAGGTATTACAGAGGATGGCATTTTCAAGCAGTATCCATTGGGGAGGGGGTTTAGTTAACTCAGATGTCTAGTTAGATTACTCCCTCCCTCCAGTAAATAACTTCATCCAAAGCAGTTAGGCATCTGTTGCACAACATTCATTTGGCTCAGAGGCCCCAGAGGACACGTAACTGAAAGCTTTGAATACGGCAGAAATTTCAAAGGAAGCTGTTGCTATGTCATGGAGTGTCAGTGCTGGAGGCTGTGAAGAGCCCTGAGGACAGCTCAGGGAATAAGCAGAGAATTCAGTGTCGTGGTTTGACCTGGAGGGAGCGACCCTCCACGTCTGCCTAGATTTACGGCGTTATGCATGGGAGAGGAACAGGTAGAATAGCCCTGTCCAGTGAAAAAAGCAGACTAGTGAGGCAGTTACAGTCCCTTTTTATAAGTCTATTAAAAGTTTATGGTCTTTCACAGGCTGTATGGGGACAATAAAACTATCATGGCCCATTCTCATGGGCAAAGACCGTGACACAAATGGGAAGTGGTAGGAATGCAACGCCATTTCCCACTGATGTGCAAGCCCTCAGCATCTCTGAAACAATCGTCATATTTACATTTTGAAACAGGCCTTACACAGGTTTTAAGCTTACCTGTGGAGTGAGTGGGTAAATTAGATTTTGGATTTACAGGAAATTCATCTCCTAACCTAGTTGGCCAGCTGCTTTTGAGCCCACCCAGCATGCGTCTTTTATAATAGAGTCACAGCGTTAGACTGTGTATCATTGCTCTGAAATTCATTCGTATAGTGTTACTCGCAGTTAAGAGAATCTCTGTATTCAACCAATTATAACTAAAATACATGTTTCTAAAAGATATGAAAGCGTACAGATAATGGATGTTTACGATTGTGAGGCATTCCCAAGATTTTAGGAACTGTTGAAATCTCTTCCCAATCTTTACACCCAATTTGTATGTAGGTCAGAGTTCTAAGAGGAAAAGTATTATTTACTAATATCACACAGGAAATTGTCAAATCAGAATAGGAACCCATGGACCTTACGGCTGCCCAGGGCAGTGGTGGAGTCACCATCCCTGGAGGGATTCAAGAAACGTGTAGATGTGGTGCTTCGGGACATGGGTTAGTGGGTTGGGTGGGGTTGGGTTCATGGTTGGACTTGATGATCCTTGAGGTCTTTTCCAACCTGAATGATTCTGTGATTCTGTATTTCAGTTAACGTTTCCTTCTTCCTGTACATTTTATGTAGAAACTGTCTTGGTTCCACTTTTAAACAAATACTTTTGTTTATTACCCTCATGTTAGGATATTTACCCACATAACAGCATTTGGAATATTACAATGAATAAATGAGACACACAACACCTTTTCTCCCTCAAAGTGCTTTGTTCTTTTTTAAGGAAAGCCAGCATTTCCAACATCTCTTGCCTCCATGTGTAGACTGCCCTGTTTATTGTAGAGAATGTCAATATTTCCTTGATGCCATATTAACTTTTCTGTTTTCTTGTCTGAAAATGCTGTGCCTGAGACTTTGTTTTCATTTGCATAGCTGCTTTGTTTGGAAGTTGTGGTACATTCTTATCCTTCATTGAGGTGATCTGTGAATAAATCCCAAATCTGGTATTGAATTTTTTGTATCTCCACTAATGTTAATGCCATGCTGTCTCTATGCATGTCACTGTTTTTATCCCCAAATGCTTAAATCATTTGTGAACAGGATGGATTCCTAGGCATATGCTTCAGAATAGCTTCAGCGTTTAGGGGCAATTGCTTAGGACTTAATCTTGCACATTTTTTTTCTTCAGCTATGAAGGACTTAGGAATCACTTTGTTTTGGAACCGTTTGAATATCCACATGATCTCATATTGGTTCCTACTTGGGAACAGTATTGTTCTGTTCCATTCCATGGGAACAAATCTAGTAGCAAAATTTGCTGCAGATTCTTATCTGGTCGTTTTTGTGAACTGGTTTCAAAATTCATCGTAGATTTTTCCCTTACCTGTCGTTATTGCTTGTTAGCTGACATATGCCATGCATTAGAAGAGAGATTTCTTACAAAAAGGAAAGATCAGATTTGAAAAACGTTCCTTTTAAGCATTTCTCTCTGTTGACAGAATTTTACAACAGTGATGGATTTTTGGTGGTGTTTTATTCACTGCAACTCACACCCACAATGGTTTTCTTTTCATAGGATTTGTATTTCACTGAGGTATCTCTGCCTCTAGGACCACCTATGAGGGGCTCAATCCTCATTCATTTTTCTGTGCACGACAAACTGTGTGTTACCTTTTATTATTGTGATGCTGTTTCCTACAATGCTTACAAAGAGAGTTTGGTTTGTGCTTGTCAGTCCACGGACCTCTCCAGGATAGAAGCCATTGTTGTATTGTCTTAGCTCTTTCTGTATAAACTATCCATGTCCACCTGTTAAATGGAATGTATTCAAATGGATTTCAAATTTCATCATTTGTCATTAAAAAAAAAAAAAAAAAAAAGATCACACCTCTCTTATTTTACCTATGAGTGCTTAGCATCCGTGATGATGGAGAAGCACCTCTGGAGAGCTCTGTGACCGCAGCAAAAAGCACTTCAAAGAAGGTGTCACCTTCATTGCATGTGACACTTCATGGCAAAATCAAGGCTGTCAGCTTGTGCATCTTCTGTGGTATTCTTTTCTTTTGCTCAGCTCTGCGTGTATTTGGAAACGGTGTCTCTCAACTCTTTGGTGATCTGCCACAGGGGTTTTTTAGCCATGGGGTACAGGGCTTGCTTTTCTGCTTAGAGGTCGATGGTGCACATCTGCTGGCTCACAAAGGCAGTTTGCAGCTCCGCGTTGTACACCAGCATGGATATTTTCCCTGGTCAGCGACATCTATCCATTTATAGCTGATGAATTATGGAAGCTGAGCACAGCTTCTGCAGCAACCTTTGGTAGTGTCAGTGAGAAGTAGCGGTTAGAGAAAAAAGAAGGCTTTCTTGTCTTCTTTGTCTCTTCCAAACCAAACTAAAGCTTTTTCCGGCTTGCTCTTGTATGTATCTTGCAAGCTGTTCAGTCATCTGTGTGTAGCCAAGTAATCCTGACCCCTGCTGCACGGTGTGCTTACAGTCCAGCTGTCCAGAGCAGCTCAGCCCCAGTTTCTTTGACACGTACTATGGGTGGAGTTTTCCAAAAGGGTCTGTGAACGAATGGGCACAAAGGCATCTCTGCTTCCATCTCCACAGCTGAGACCAGACCATGCCCAGCCCACCCTGGGTGAAATCCTGGGCCCTTAACATGTTCCTCTCCAGCTAAAGAGGCTCCAGGCCTCTGGTGCCAGCACACTGGGGTACTTCTGCTGGTGCTGCGAAAATAAATACAGAAATGGTACCAGGAACACCATCTAGGCTGTAGCAAAACACAAAGGAATTTTTGTATTCACCTGTTCCGAGGATCTAAGCCATTTAACAAATAGTTTAACCTCACACCATTAATTTTTACAGCCTCCATTGCCTCTGGTATCTGTACATTGCTAATTCTGTCACTGCCTGTACACCACACCACAGGCTCCAAACCCTGCAGTTCTGGGAACAGATGCAGAATCAAGCCTTGCTCCTGCCAAGCTTTCTAAAAACAGCTCATCCCAAGGCCTTCGCCACGCTGGCACTCGCTCTGCAGAGGCAGGGGCAGGGATGGCAGGATCCATAATGAGGGGGAGCTTCAGCCCCTTCCCTTCACTCTCTAGCAGTCGTGTACAAACCAATCCGTGCTGCAAGAATACATCAGCCTCCACGCTTGCTTTTCTTTTTCTGTAATGAAAAGCTTTTCATCCCTGGATGTTAGATATTTTAAAAAATCTAGTAGTCTCCTGTTGTTTGTCTTAGCCCATGAAAAACATTGCCTTTCGTGGGTTTTGGGGTGGGGTGTTTTGTTTGGGGTTTTTTTGTTGGTTTGGGGTTTTTTTTGGTTTTGTTTTCTTTTTTTTAGGAAAAGGTCAGTGTAGATACATTCAGGGGATTTTTTATAATTTTTATTCTATTCAATGAATGTTAAATTTAATACAAAAATATTTTTTAATCCATCTGTAGAATGTGAAAGCCAAGAACTGCTGAAACAATAAGGAATTATTTTAATACGTACAAGAAAAATATAATTAATTCCTTCTCCTCCACATCTGAAAATACATTCTATTCTTTGTTATTGTTGCCGATGCGGTTGTTTACAAATCAATCTGATTTGGGGAGAAAATGTCTCCCTTAAACTGAAGCTAGATGCTGCCACCCATAGGCTTGATGCATGCTCTGTTTTGATTTAGTGCTAGCTTAACTATACTTTGTCTGAAACCTGTGCAAACTAAACCATCTCGCTCTCTATGGGGACGTATGAAGGATTTATGAGAATGTCTACACCACTGCAGCTGCATCCACAGAGAAAACTAACAATGATGGGCTCAGTCATTTTCTAGGGCATTTGAGTTAGGCTGCAGAGTAATTTTTAGGCACCTTTGCCCCAGGACTGAAATCAGGTACCCAGGGGGGCCTGGGTATGGCAGATGCTCTGTTGCTGTGACAACATTCGTGTTAAGAACCTCTCTTCCTCCCTCTGATTTTAGAAACTGGTTAAAAAAGAAACCAAGCAGCCAGGTTAGCAGAAGCAGGGCAGTCAGGCTGGAGGGGATATTATCCAGCCTGATAACAGTGTATTCAGCTCTGTGGTTCTCATTAAGATCAGTGAGGATCGTGGGAAAATAAATTCATTCCTGATACTGCCGTGGTATTCTCAGCTAAGCTCTGTGCCTTGAATTAGTGAAAAAATGTCCTAAGGGCTCATTTCCTTATATCAGGCCGTTTAGATGGGAGAGCTTCACTGCTCCCAGCACGAGGAGCTGGCCTGGCTTTTCAGCAGAGCTCCATTCACCTGTGTTCTGCACAGCCTTTAGATGTTATAGAACCTGCCTGTGTGAAGAGGAGGGATTTATTCATGTTGTTATCACACTGAATATTTGTTACCCTTGGCTCCTGTGTTCCTGC